AAGGACCCACTCCTCTGGAATCGGAGGAGTGGGTCAAAATCCTGTTGAGATGGCACTTAATCACACCTATCTTTTGAGTCTTGGGCCCATATGACCAGAAGTCTTGTGTAGACTAGAAAGTGATAGCCCCCTTGTCCCAGATGTCCTTCTGGTTTTTCATCCTGGCCTCGCAGCATACAACCGGGGGACTAGCTTGAGTGAGAATTCGGCACCCCAGAAATTCGAACTCTCCGTTGCGATCGTCAGTCCTCACTAATGTAAGATGATGGTTATAGATGGAGCTAAACTTTAAGAAGATACCTCTAGATTTGTCCAGGTACGTATGAGACGATTCTGGAAGGAGGATAAAAAGAGCCACATCATCAACCAGTCGGAAACCATCAACTAAACGTCTGTCCTTCCCAAGAGAGTTAAGAAAGCAGACTTCTTGGTGGGCACAAACAAGCGAGAGAAGGGCTGAAGCTTTTTCTCATGGGAATGCCTACAATCTGTCGGATGATAAAAGAAAAAACTTTACAGAAGGAGTTGTTGAGGTCGAATCGGACGAAGTCAATTAGTACACGGAACTTAATCCTCACCCAACCTTTTTCACCATGTCCCTTTCCAAAAGCTATCCCTTTTCCGCGTCTGTTGACGCGTACTGCATTGTGTCCTTTGGCCATGAAGTAATCACACAGCCACTCTACAGCCTGGATGATGTCGTCATGAGGTAGCTCAGTGAACATCTCCTTAATATCGAAGTAGGATGAAAGCAAAATACCATCCGTCATCCTACCTAACTTTCGGTTCATATTAGCGACTCGTGTCTTGAGTAGGCTGGTGCTTTTTAGGTTGAAATGGCTGGAATCCGGGATTCTCCATAGCATCCCATTTATCGCCTTAGCTATCAGTTTGCATGTCAATATACTTGGTTCTGTGAAGGAAGGTGCTATAGGCCTCCATCTACTAACATCCTTATGTTTCGATGTCCCATACGCATTCCCCAATTTACCCTTTTTATTCCAGTGGGCCAATTCATAAGCTCGGATTCCTTGGAACTTATCTCGACAAGCATTCAAAATTTCTTCCTCCGAACGCTGTTCTACCTCAAACCCACTGTTACCCCAATACAGCCCCATAAGTGCCTTGCGATAGATTGACTTACAACAGACAAAAAAATCTCCTATATTGTGATCAATAGGGGAGATCACGAAGTTACTCAGAGAATCCCCCCAAAAATCCAAATCATTACCCTCAGTCGAGCCTGCCAGAGACTGCTTAGTAAAGCAAGAGTGGAGGGCACTATACCCACCTACCCAATCGTTCTTGCTTGGAATCGTTGCCAAACCGTCGTGCAAAGCTCTTTTCAATTTCCCAACAGAGACCGAGATCCTAGGGTGTAGGATGTTGTTGGCATTCCTCAAAGAAGCTGGTATTGCATTTATTTCGGAAAACCGAAAAGCTACATGACCATCGAAGTCCCATGGAAAGTCATCACGCACGTGGTGGCAAGAGCAGAAATCCAAGTTATCTGTTTGTCTGTGATTGTGCAGTATGTCAGCAACCGACTTGTTACTTGTCCACACAATCTTCATTCTAGAGATGATGAAATCAGCTAAGAGGTTGTCCAAACAACGTCGCCAAACAATAGATTTGGCCATATCATAAACACTGCATTTCCTAATGCGGTCGTCATACATAATCCGTATAACAACAGGGGCAAGACAACGGAAACCGCAAACTCTCGTCAGTGCTCGTCCTACTACCCTTTTAAGATGGACCTCGAGCCCTCCCTGTGGAATGAATCAATGGAGTTATATAATCTTATCAAATTTCGAATCCCTGTCTTAAGCAGCCCCTCCCTGGTGCTAGGTACCTCCAACAGTATAGCTAGAATGTCATGTCGGAGGAGGGAGAGACCACGCCGACGCCGAATTCTTACCACATAGAAGGTCCCCCCAGCGCAAAATTCCTGTTTAAGTTTTTTTAAAACAGATTTTTTGCCCTCAAATTCCACAATGGACAATCCAAATTTATGACGCAGATTACCCCAAGAAATAAAAAACCATTCACCTCCATGACTAGTGACTATGACATGAGACGTCTCAGCATCCACAAACTCGTTACGCAATCTGAATAGGGAGTAAGAAGCCTCGGAGGAGGGTCGTGGTTTAGGCACAGGAAGAGAAACAGAAGAAATCCCATTTTATCAGTTTTTCATATTGCAGATCCTTGTGTACCTGGATCGTCTGACTTCGGAGATAAGACATACGTTCCCTGCGCCCTTTCCTATGGCATTGCCATTTCTTTTTCTTGACACAGTTAAGGACGGGTGACCATTTCGATATCAAGTTTTGCTCTACTTCCCTGATTTCTTTTTTCTGGTGGAAAAGCAATCGGTATTGCTACATAGCTTGACCAGTGCCTGTGTTGGAGCCAACGACGTAACCTATGATTCCTGCCATCACCCGACCTCAGTGCCCTACATACGTGCTCTTCCCATCTTACATGCAACATCCTCGTAGTAGACCCGATATAAGAGGCTCGGTACCAAGGAGAAATCAGAACATAAACACAAGGTCCATCATATTCACACAACTGTATCCCTTCCTGCAGTAGCGTTCGCCAGTCATTTCTAAACTTTCCTGCCCAGGCTATCTGTTGAGACAAAGCAAGAAAAAGAACAAGAAACCTCATGCAGTGGTCGAAAAAACGTGTTTCACTCCCCCGCCAGCCCTTAGTCTTCCTTTCTCGTCTTACATTCTCTTGTTCGAGCCATGCGGAGGAGGCCTTGATGGATTATTGGGAGGGGTTCTCCTCTTGAGAATCTTCCTCAGATTCGCCCTCCTCCGATTCTTCACCATACGCGTCAATACCTCGAAGCCGCGCCAGCGCAACAGAGGTAATTTTCTTGTTCACATATTTTATCTTGTGCTTCTTGCAGAGTTCTTCAAGCTCGTGCTTGGTCTTGTTGAACAAGACTTCAATCAAATCCTCCACGTACTTCTTTCTCCCCTCCTTCCCAGGTCCGGCAACCGCTGCCTTCTTGCCTCGGTTGATGCAATCGAAACCCAACTCTTGACTAGTGGGCTCGTTGATGGAGATGCCGCTGGTACGCCTCCTGGTGCTGTTGCCGGCAACCGAGGCGAACATCCCAGCCAGCTTGCCAGAGAAACCTCCCCCTGTTGGAGTACCGTCCTGACCAGACCGACCTCTCGATGGACCGGATTCAGTAGCAGGCTCGTTGTAGCTGGGTGCACTCGGCACAGACCTAGTCGGAGCCGGAGTCACAGGCATCTGGACAGGTGGGGGAGGAGGGGGAGGGGGAGGATTAGGTGGTTGAGGAGCCAGAGGATTGGGTGGAGCAGGAGCGGGAGCTTGGGCAGGAGGTGGAGGATGAGCAATTTGATAAGTAGGAGGGGTGGGAGGATTAGTGCTCGGAGGAACTCCAGGAATCACAGCTGGATCCTGTGAGCTTGATGTGGCCATAGGAACTAAACCGACGCCCTGTTGTCGGATAGCTTCGAGACAATACAGCATCTGATGGAACATTGCCGCTTGCGCTTCTTGAGCCTTCCTAACTGTATCGATGTCCATTCTAATAAGCCCCGTATCCAACGGGGTAGCGGCGTTTTCTACACGCGGTCTACCAATTCTTTGTTGTTGCGGATTTGCTGATTTTCCCGCCATGGTGCCTGATCACGTTTCTTGCTATCCGTGCTCTCTCCAGATTTACTCTTATCCCATTCATTCGACGACGGATCGATTCTATCCCAATTCTTCTTGCTTGTATTTGTTGACGCCTCCTTCTTCTTTGCCTCCATTTCCTCCATCTGTTCACGGAGAATACGGGTCAAACGCGCTTCACAATCGGCCTCACGTTTCTCCTCTTGTTCCAACCTTCTTTGCTCCTTCTCTTGAGCCAGTCTTGCTTGCTCCTCCCTCACCCTTCGATCCTCCTCTTCACGTCTTCTCGCCCTTTCCTCCCGCCTTTCGTTCCAAATCTCTCTTAGTATTCTCCTCCCCCATCACGTGGTCTATTGTTCCAAGCGCGAGACCCATTCCCATTAGAACCACCACGTGGCGGCTGAAAGGGAACGACAACGTTTTGCGCGGGGGGCTGGTATGGAACAATAGCATTAGATGCACTCGGCGCGGCCGGTGGTGCTTGTAGCAATGGAGGCAGAGGCGGGGGATCAAAACGCTGCCTGTGCTGGCCAGGTGCTTGCTGCCCATTCGCAAGCGGAGGTTGAGGCGGTGCGAGGATCGGCCTTCCTTGCACAAAACCATCATTCCGGACCGGGACCGCATTAACTCCCGTGCTCATGGCCCCATATCTGTCACTTCTTGGGGAATCCGCATATCTGTTGTTGCGTGGAGGATTCGGGCACCAACGTGCTAAATGGCCGTACAGGCCGCAATTGTAACAATTGCGGTTCAGGCCGCCATAGCCACCATCCGCCATGCTGCTTGCTTCGATCGATACCTTGCTTGATGCAAACTCTCCCCACCGAGCAACAATAGCCTCGAAAAGTCGACCCGACTCTAGACACGCTTATAACCCGAAAATAGATCAGAATCGCGACAAGAAAAACCAACAACCAATCGCGAGCACCAATCCCCACAGAACATTCGGACCGATGAGGGACAAAGAATAGAACTGATTCCTGACACATCTAAGCGACGCAGGTAGAATAGGATTAGATAGGAAACAATCAATCTTCAGAGGCGCTGTTAGTCCAGCATGGAGAGTTCAAGATGATTAGATGAGAAGGAGAGTAAGGCGCGGACATGTGTCGTCTCGATCTCTTCCTGGAAACTCCGCAGCAGCACACGAGTAATCGGGCGCCTCCACCACACCGCGAATCAAGCGGTGGCTAATGCGCTACGCAAAGGCGAAGGCGATGAAGTCGACAATGCTAAGTCGTGATAGTCGAGCGCAAGGCTCAAACCAGTGCGTGCAGGTATGGATTTCAAGACGTCAACATCCCACGACACAGATACATGGCAGAGCCACAAGTAGTAGAGAAGGTGAGAGATGAAGAAAACACGGTACAAACAAGCACATAGCAGAATAATAACTCGCTTCCGAAAAATGTATACAAAGATCACTCAAGAAGCGAGCATGGCGATAGTCCCGACATGTTTCGGCCACCTCGCCGAAGTGGCCATCATCAGGGGATGGTTGCGCTTGCGAAGATACTAATCCTAGTGGTACAAGTACTCGAAGAAAACATCCCGAGAAAAGCCTTCCACGTTCGACGTGCACGCCGCACATCCTCGTCACAGCGTGCGCCATACAGCTTCAAGTTGATGACGATACACCTAGCAGACAGAGACTAGATCAGGAGAAAGTACGGGAGGGGAGAAAGAAGATGGAATAGCAGGGTGATCAGAGGATTTTGAAAAAAGGCGGGGAGATCCAGCCGCATGGATAGAGAAAGGGGGGAGAGGGGGGAGGGGGGAGGGGGGGGGGGGGGGGGGGGGAACGTAGGGCAGATAGAAACTAGATCAGGAGATGGTATGGGAGAGCGGGAAGGAGGATGGAAAGGGGATCCTGGTCATTGAGGGCAA